AAACACCATCAAAGCAAGAATTGAAAAGTCAACGACAGATCCCAAGTGTAGACTCTGCAAAGAAGCAGCACATCCTCAGCTGCTGCAAGAAGATCACGCAGACAGACTCCAAGCAGAGGCACAACACCCTTGCTCAGATGATGCATTGGGACTTGTGCCACAAACACCATCAAAGCAAGAATTGAAAAGTCAACGACAGATCCCAAGTGTAGACTCTGCAAAGAAGCAGCACATCCTCAGCTGCTGCAAGAAGATCGCACAGACAGACTCCAAGCAGAGGCACAACACCCTTGCTCAGATGATGCATTGGGACTTGTGCCACAAACACCATCAAAGCAAGAATTGAAAAGTCAACGACAGATCCCAAGTGTAGACTCTGCAAAGAAGCAGCACATCCTCAGCTGCTGCAAGAAGATCACGCAGACAGACTCCAAGCAGAGGCACAACACCCTTGCTCAGATGATGCATTGGGACTTGTGCCACAAACACCATCAAAGCAAGAATTGACAAGTCAACAACAGATCCCAAGTGTAGACTCTGCAAAGAAGCAGCACATCCTCAGCTGCTGCAAGAAGATCACGCAGACAGACTCCAAGCAGAGGCACAACACCCTTGCTCAGATGATCCACTGGAACCTGTGCCACAAATACCATCTTCCTGTGAACACTGGCCACATGACCTTGGAAGTGTCTATGGACAACTCCGGCTCTTCGGCTTAGAAATGGAGATGAGCACCACACCCCAGAATCAGACATGACTGGATTTAATGCCAGGACAATGAATGTGTGGGCGCATTAAGGAAAATATGAAGTCATAACGATGTCTTGCTTGTTTGTTCCCCCCAACCAGATACCCGGTCATTTTGTCCATTGAGAATCACTGCAGCGTCGCCCAGCAGAAAAAGATGGCCCAGTATCTCACTGAAGTTTTGGGGGACAAGCTGGACCTGTCTTCCGTGAGGAATGAAGATCCCACAAAACTGCCTTCCCCGGAGAACTTGAAAGGGAAAATCTTGGTCAAGGTAAGGAAATATTCATTGCCCACACACAACTATTATTATTATTTTACTGATACAAAAACACAGTATGGCCCAGCAAACGAGATAGGCAGTGTTCCCTCGCTACTTCGCGGTTCACTTTTCGCGGACTCGCTGTTTTGCGGGTTTTTGAAAATATCAATAAAAATATTAAATATTTATGTCCAGTGTATAATCAATAATATTAATAACGTTAATAATATTACTAATCTATTAATATTCCAAGGAGTGGCAACGGTGAGTTTCTGCTGCGGGTATCGGTTTGTGGAGGCTGCAGCCAGTGCAGACTGCCAAAGATGTCTTTGTTATTTTTGGTCTAAATAAATAACCATGTTTGACTGTGTCTGACCTCCGGTGTCTCTCTGGACTCCTCCGAATGTCAATCAACATCTAATGCCATGTAGCGTGAAGCTTTGAAATGAGCCTCGGGTGAGTCTCAGGCTGGCGGCTAGCTTTGTCCCTTCCCTCTCCTCTTTCTCTCCTCTGTTCCTGCTGGCTGGGGTCCATCTCCTCATTTGGTGTGCGACTTATCTCAGGCTGAGATGCTGCCTTGCAGTAGGTGGAAAGACATTCTTTACCATCTCATCCTCCAATGTGACATGGGCATCCTTTGCCACTAATCCCACATGCACTCCACATTGGAGAAACAGGGCAATCTCTATTTTTTTTTATCGTGTTGATATCGAGCTACTTTTAGTGGAGTCCCCGAGAGAGAGAGAGACCCGAGGACCGCGCCAAAAGGGCCCTGGGTACCTTGGTGAGGCCAGGAAAATTGCCAATTCTAAAATAAAAGATAATAATAAAAATACCTCACCAGGCGGAAGAAATCAGGTATTGTTTCATGCTGATGAGTCAATCAGGAAGGGTTTGGGGAAAACAGAGGAACTTCTCCCCAGGGCATCACAGTAATCTTCAGGTCACAACTTTGTGGGGCAAGGGTCAACAGGAAAGGCGGGAAAAGGGGACACAGTATATTCCATACAACATTTCATTACATATATTTCATAAAGCAAAACCCCATCCCCATCCCAGGAAAATTTATTATAATATTTGATCTTTATTATGACATAAATCGGAGATTTCATAGACGTGGAAAAGGATGCGCGGAAACGGAGGCTGCCAGCGTCTCGGATCAGGCACCAGCAGAGGATCCATGGCCGTGGATATGTAAACAGTCCAGTTCATGAGTCAGGGAGTCAAAAAGAAAAGGCAAAATAGTCCAGTGGTGAGCGCTGGGTTGGATGGCAACAGAGTCCATTTGTCCGGCCTTTGGAGAACTATGTCTCTCCTCCAGGGCCGGGGTCCCCGCCTGGCCGCCTTCCCAGGGCCTCCCATGGGTAGCCATAGTGAGCCCCCGGCTGCGGGGCTGGGCAGGAACGAGCGGCGCTGAAAAGAAACGGGCTGCCTTGGAAGAAACCGGCCAAATTGACAAACAGCTGATTTCTGTCAAATGAAATACCTTAAACCAAACCAATTATTTCCCGGGCGGGGGAGTCCAAAATGAGGAAAGCGAGATGGCAGTTAGTCTTAGAATTAATAGCAGAAAAATACAAAATTGGAACGGCGTCGATCCGCCGTTTTGTTGTTTTAGCGGATACGGGGATCCAAAATGGCGGTTTCCGTATCCGCGGTTTAAACGAACGCAGATCCGGCGTTCCGGGGGTGCCAGTAGGCGCCCCCGGCAGGCTCACGGCTCTCCGGAGCCTGGAAAAAGGTTTATTTTTATGTTGGATTAGTCTGAGGCAGGAAAAGATACAAAAGTATCAAGCGGAGAGATTAAATGTTGCAAGTTTCAAGTACTTTTATTAGGGGAATGTTACAATGTAAGAAGAAGGGGAAAGCAAAGGAAAGCTGCAGGCATTCCTGGTTTTGAGCTGGCTGCTGGGGCACATTTCATCCGTTGGTCCCAAATTTGGCTCCCAGGAACTGCGGAACTCTCCGCTGCGGTTCACACCAATTTGAAGGCGGGGGTCTCAGCCGCGCTCGGGCTCAGTGTCAGAAGCGAATTAAGAATACAATTATAATGTATGGAACAATCACAAACAAAGTAAAAAACTTGGCATTATACTAAATGTTCTTTGACCAGAATCTGGCCACTTGGAGTGCATCTGGTGTCGCTGTGAGAAGGTCCTCGATTGTGCATGTGCCAGGGCTCAGACCGCATTGTAGTAAGTGGTCTGTGGTTTGCTCTTCTCCACATTCAAATGTCGTGGACTCCACTTGGTAGCCCCATTTCTTAGCTCTGCATCTCGTGGTGCTAAAGTGCAGCCTGTTCAGCACTTTCCAAGTCATCCAGCCTTCTGTGTCTGGGAGTGTCTCCTCCGGTCTCAGCCACTGATTGAGGTTCTGGGTTTTGACCTGCCTCTTTTGGACTCTCGCTTGCTAAGGTGTTCCTCTGAGTATCTCTGTAGATCTTAGGAAACTATTCCTTGACTTAAGGCATTGGCTTGCTGGCTGATATCCAAACAGAGGATGGGCCGGAGATGTCAATGCCATGGTCCTTTCATTGCTGGCTGCTACTTCCTGGCGAATAGCAGGTGGTGCAATAATTCAAAAATGCCAGGATAGAACACAAAGCCAAAGAACCCAAGAAACACGGAATTAATCCAATAGTACATCCATGAGCATGAAAACAGGAACATGTAACAGGAATCTTGACAATACAGGAACAATTAACAGGAGATTGATCTCCTATAGCAACAAGAGACCTGAAGTCAAACCACTTAATTTAAGCCTTCTAAGACACCCATGACATCATGCCTGATACATCTGGACCTCAGAATCTTATCTCAGTTTCGCTGAGAATATCTAGTTTGCCGGTTTTTCACTCCCTGTGTTCTCAGGCCTAATCTATTATCCCTGGAAAACTCCCGATCGACTCAAAACCTTTTCTCAAGGGAACTGGAACTTTCCCTTTCCCCGTTGCCTCGGAATGAGCAAAAGAATCCAAAACATTGGCCTCGTCTGCCCGCAGTTCTCTTCGATCACTCACAGACTCCTCACTTTATCTCCCTCATTCTCTGAACATTCAGAAAAATCCTTTGTTGCTTGTCAGACTACAACAAAGGCCTCCAAAACCAAGGTTAACATCCACAGGTCAATGTGAATACTATATCTTACAAAAAAGGAACAATGTCCTTTTCTGAACGAAGTGGAGAACCCAAAAGAAGCATCGACTCTCTCTACTCTCTCCACCGTGATGCTACTTTTGGCCTTTTTTAATTTCTGGGTGGGGAAATGACAGCGGCAACCAGTTTCACCCTATTAGCTCTAGATTTTGATATACAGAACATATGGCACCTACCAGTTGCCATCTGCTCACCCATAGAAAACCATGGTGTTTACCCTTCTCCATGGAAAGAGCCTTGATTCATCCATGGGTCATATCAAAAATTGGCCAGAAGGGTCAAAAGGAAACAATCATGCTGTCACGCGCTGGGCCTGTGAAAGAGTCTGTAGACAGGACGTGTTTTCTGAATGCCCAACGGGACGCCGGGGGTGCCTCGGCTGAGAGGCCTTTCGGATTTCCCCACACGAGGTTCTTTTAAAGACTTAGAAAGTTCAACAAAGTTTTTCTTGTTGCTTAAATCTGCAATAAATCAAACAAATACTTCAAAAGGCTTTGAATCAACTGGCGGCTTGCTTAAATCTTGTCCACAAGGGACAGGCAACTTTCTTCATAAACTGTTTCTTCCTCCTACAAGGGAAATCCTTCACCTCTCCTTGGGCAATCTGACTTAAGCTCTGCTGGTGTGGGCCCCTACACCCGGTCCAAATTGCGTTATGGCTGCCGCGAGTGGTCCTTACCAAACAGAGTCCTTTAGTAGATTTCCAAGAGGAAAGAAGGCTTTCAATTCCCAGCGAAGGCTGGCTGTAGAGTTGTGGAACTAAATTCCCCAACCAAGGCTATGCTGTCGTTCTCTGTAGAGCGGTGGGACTGGATCCCCCCAGCAAAGCTGAAAAAGGCGAAGCTTTCTCCAGGTGGAACTGATTCACGTCCTGTACGAAAGGCTTCTCTGTGTGGACTGAACTCGAAGTCCCCTTTCTCCCTCCTTAACCCAGAAAAAGGGGCGGAACTAAAGAACCTAATGATAATTGATGGGTCCTTGGCCCTATGATTGCAACCTTATTGCAAAATGCATGGAACTTTGGAATACATGCAAACACTCAACAGAAAGGAAAAGAAGTGGGAGCTCCTGGTACAGCCGTACCAGCACAACTCTTGTCTAAGTTAATCTCATGTCTGAGTCTGCAAGCTCCTGTAAGCATCAAGAATTTTTGTCCCCCTTTTCTCCTCCCTGCCCACAAATTGTTTCATTGCTGTCATAAAAATGGTCTCTGAGCAAAGGCATCCTGGATTCATGGAACGTTGCAGGATATTCTTTCAAGCACTTAAGAATCATCCCTCCTACCAAGAGAAGGTGGGCGTAAGTAAGGGCTTGTTAAGCCTCTTGAAGGTATCAGTTTATCATCTGTGAGGTGGCGCATTACTCTTAGCATCCTACTAATGCATATATGAAGATGCTGTTTTAAGGTCTTGTAGAATATCGTTTAATGGAGTCTGGGTGAAAGCCTCATAAAGCAAAAAAGGAGATGAAATGCTTCAGCATCATTCAAAGACATTGCAGGTGTCCTGAGAGTTGTTGCACTCTCGTCCTGTCCTGCAACAACTATCATGAAGAAGAAATGGAGAAGCGGTGGAACTTAGATAAGATACAGATACAATCTGTATGTGTGCATTATTCATGATATTCTTCAATCCTTGCTAAAATGCCATTTGATGCTGTAGTTCCTCTAGTTTGCTCCTTCCCACCTGTCCCCAAGGAGGCAGTTCAGACCTTGAACCGGTGCTTGGCCGCTGTGTCGGACTGGATGAGGGCTAGCAAACTGAAACTGAATCCAGACAAGACAGAGGTCCTACTGGTCAGTCGCAAGGCCGAACAGGGCATAGGGTGACAGCCTGTGTTGGAGGGGGTCGCACTCCCCCTGAAGGCGCAGGTTCGCAGCTTGGGAGTGATCCTGGATTCATCGCTGAGCCTGGAACACCAGGTCTCAGCGGTGGCTGGGAGAGCTTTTGCACAATTAAAACTTGTGCGCCAGCTGCGCCCGTACCTTGGGAAGTCGGATCTGGCCACAGTGGTCCGCGCTCTGGTTACATCCTGAATAGATTACTGCAACGCACTCTACGTGGGGCTGCCTTTAAAGGCTGTTTGGAAACTTCAGCTAGTCCAACGGGCGGAAGCCAGATTACTAACCCGGGCGACATACAGGGAGGATACCACCCCCCTGTTGAGCCAGCTCCACTGGCTGCCAGTCCATCTCCGAGCCCAATTCAAAGTGCTGGTTTTGACCTATAAAGCTCTATACCAGGGTTTCTCAACCTGGGGGTCGGGACCGCTGGAGGGGTCATGAGGGGGTGTCAGAGGGGTCACCAAAGGCCATCTGAAAACACAGTACTTTCTGATGGCCATGGGGGTTCTGTGTGGGAAGTTTGGCCCAATTCTATTGTTGGTGGGGTTCAGAATGCTCTTTGATTGTAGGTAAACTATAAATCCCAGGAACTTCAACTCCCAAATGTCAAGGTTTGTTTTCCCCAAACTCCAGATCCAGAGCCAGCATTGTTTGAGTCCACAGTGCTCTCTGGATGTAGGTGAACTACAACTCCCAAACTCAAGGTCAAAGCCCACCAAACCCTTCCAGTATTTTCTGTTGGTCAGGGGAGTCCTGTGTGCCAAGTTTGGTTCAATTGCATTGTTGGTGGAGTTCAAAATGCTCTTTGATTGTAGGTGTACTATAAATCCCAGCAACTACAACTCCCAAATGAAAAAATCAACCCCTGCAACCCCACCAATATTCAAATTTGGGCGTATCGGGTATGTGTGCCAAATTTGGTGCAGTGAATGGAAATACATCCTGCATATCAGATAATTTACATGACGATTCAGAACAGTAGCAAAATTATAGTTATGAAGTAGCAATGAAAATAATTTTATGTTTGGGGGGTCACCACAACATGCGGAACTGTATTAAGGGGTCGCGGCATTAGGAAGGTTGAGAAACACTGCTCTATATGGTTCTGGCCCAGCTTGCTTGTCCGAACGCATCCGCCCCTACGTCCCACCTCGTAATCTAAGATCATCCGGGGAGGCCCTGCTCTCGCTCCCGTCAATTGCGCGGGGACGAGTGACAGGGCCTTCTCGGTGGTGGCCCCTCGCCTATGGAACACACTCCCAAATGAGGTAAGATCTGCTCCCTCCCTCCTGGCTTTTAGAAAGAAATTAAAATCATGGCTTTGGGACCAGGCCTTCGGACAGTAGATGTTTGTAGAGTTTAAAGGACATGGACTAGAATGACAATACGACTGGCGAGACTGTTTTTATTATTTATTGTTTTAATGATTGCTTATGTACTGTCTAATTATGATTTATGCTTAATTGTCATTTTATTATTGTGGTTGTTATGGATTGGCATCGCAGCAGTGTCCAATGTATGGCATTGAAGCTTTGCCAGTTATGTGTAAACCGCTTTGAGTCTCCCCTTTGGGTGAGGAAAGCGGGATAGAAATCCTGTCAATGAAATAAATACTAACCGCTTGACGTTCCCTTGATCCTTCTAGGGAAAGAAACTTCCAGCCAACATTAGTGAGGACGTGGAAGAAGGAGAAGTCTCCGATGAGGACAGCGCAGATGAGATGGACGATGACTGTAAACTGATGAATGGAGATGTAAGTATTGACATTTAGAGTAAGTCGGATCAGTTTTGTATGATTCGTACTTACGACGCAATACCAGATGCACAAATCTTTGGCTTATGCGCATAACGTATATATTAGGGCTGTCCAAACACGGAAAAATTTGTTTCTAAACTCGATTCGTTTTTAGGGGTTTTTTGCGTTTCGTTATTTAAAAGAATTCCGAAATTTTCCTTAAAAAAAGTTCGATATTTACGAAATTTCGGAAAATCATAAAACAATTACGAAACAATTACGAATCGATTCGTTAATGGCGGCCGCGATCGCGCAATACGCTAAAAAAACTTCTGAAGCTTCCCTCTCCCTCTGTTGTTGACTGTTGGTGTGATAATTATATTTTTTTTCACTGAGAAAACAAACAGCAACCCTAAAACTTGCACCAGACATGCGGAAATAATAACGAAACATTTCCGAATCAATATCGAAACAATTTCGAAACGAATTGGAAAAATTCGTTTCGTTTTTTAGTTGCTCCTGAATGGTTCAATATCGCTTCGTTATAAAAAAAAATGAATTTTTAACGAATTACGAAATTACGAAACGAAACCGCCCAGCCCTAGTATATATCTCTATAAATAAAAATGTAATGTTCGTTTGTGGAATTAACATAACTCAAAAACCACTGGGCGAATTAACACCAAATTTGGACACAAGACACCTATCAGGCCAACAAGTGACCATCACTCATCAAAACACTGGAAAACACAGCGGAAGAGACTTAAAAAGCCTAAAGCATAAAACCATCCTAGTATAAAACATTATATAAATACAGGTATTCTGGTTCCATACATTTCAGATCAGGGATATTTGGCTTGTTCCTCTGGAGGGGCGGAAGCCGTTCTGGGATTCTGGGAGGGGTCTTCTGAGAGGGGCAGAAGGCGGTTTGCAAGGATTCTTGCGAGGATTTTCCCAGCGGAGGTTAGAAGGGAGATACCTCGATAGTTTCCCCTTTTTTGAAGAGGGTGATGATGGTGGCATCCCTGACATCTGCTGGGATTTTCTTGGTCACCCACACTTTTTCTATGAGTCGGTGGAGTTGTTGTGTCAGCTCAGGTCCTCCCTCTTTAAAGATTTCAGCAGGGATCCCATCAGGTCCGCTGGCTTTGTTATTGTTTTGTTGCAACTGTTGCAACCCAGAGCAGAAAATGAGGCCCTAAGATAACTATCCACCACACTTGACTGTGAAAAAAACTATCCTTTTTTATTGATGAAAAATGGTTACAAAATGAAGGAAAAATGCAAAGTCAAAAGCCACAGCAAAAATCAGCAAACATGAATGTCCATGAACAAGATCAAAGCCCAAAGGCACACTGTAAAATAATGGAACCTGTTAGCAATCCACTAACCGTACTTGGTGTCCTAGAAATCTTTCAAGACGATAGCCAAGGAAACCGGGAGAACTGCCAAGGTACTCATCAATCTAAAACGATGCCTGAACTGAGAAAGTCAGCCCGGCGGAAGGCACTTAAAGCCGAGGAATTGGTTTCGTGAAACGCCTCCCTGCTTTGAAGCCGTTGTTTGTATTTCTTTTAATCTGGAAGACCTTCGCAAGCTGAGTGATTTACTTCTGTCTTGCCAGATCTGGCCCCTTCTATTCTCATTAAGGTTCCCAGGTGCAGAAGGGAGTGAAAGGTCATCGCTTCCCTCTGAAACATTCTCATGAACACTGGTACTTTCGTTTTCCAAATCTACAGAAGTTTCTTCCTCACTAATTTCAGGAGCATTGTCACTAATTTCAGGATCATTGACATCAAGAAGTACATTTTCATTAGCATCAGGAAGTACATTTTCATTAGCATCAGTAAATATATTTTCATTAGCATCAGGAGGTACAAACAGAGAATCAGGTTCAAACTCAGGCTGAACCCCACATGCAACTCCTGGAACGATTCCATCAGCGCTGCCTCTGGAAAATCCTGCAAATCTCTTGGGAAGACAAGTGGACAAACGTCAGCGTGCTGGAAGAAGCAAAGACCACCAGCATTGAAGCGATGGTCCTCTCCATCAACTCCACTGGGCCGGCCGCAGTCTGTTCTTCCCCCTTTTTTTTTTTGAAGAGGGTGATGATGGTGGCATCCTTAAAATCTGCTGGGATTTTCTTGGTCACCCACACTTTTTCTATGAGTCGGTGGAGTTGTTGTGTCAGCTCAGGTCCTCCCTCTTTAAAGATTTCAGCAGGGATCCCATCAGGTCCGCTGGCTTTGTTATTGTTTTGTTGCAACTGTTGCAACCCAGAGCAGAAAATGAGGCCCTAAGATAACTATCCACCACACTTGACTGTGAAAAAAATCCTTTTTATTGAAGAAAAATGGTTACAAAATGAAGGAAAAATGCAAGTCAAAAGCCACAGCAAAATCAGCAAACATGAATTTCCATGAACAAGATCAAAGCCCAAAGGCACACTGTAAAATAATGGAACCTGTTAGCAATCCACTAACCGTACTTGGTGTCCTAGAAATCTTTCAAGACGATAGCCAAGGAAACCGGGAGAACTGCCAAGGTACTCATCAATCTAAAACGATGCCTGAACTGAGAAAGTCAGCCCGGCGGAAGGCACTTAAAGCCGAGGAATTGGTTTCGTGAAACGCCTCCCTGCTTTGAAGCCGTTGTTTGTATTTCTTTTAATCTGGAAGACCTTCGCAAGCTGAGTGATTTACTTCTGTCTTGCCAGATCTGGCCCCTTCTATTCTCATTAAGGTTCCCAGGTGCAGAAGGGAGTGAAAGGTCATCGCTTCCCTCTGAAACATTCTCATGAACACTGGTACTTTCGTTTTCCAAATCTACAGAAGTTTCTTCCTCACTAATTTCAGGAGCATTGTCACTAATTTCAGGATCATTGACATCAAGAAGTACATTTTATTAGCATCAGGAAGTACATTTTCATTAGCATCAGTAAATATATTTTCATTAGCATCAGGAGGTACAAACAGAGAATCAGGTTCAAACTCAGGCTGAACCCCAACAGCAACTTCTGGAACGATTCCATCAGCACTGCCTCTGGAAAATCCTGCAAATCTCTTGGGAAGACAAGCAGACAGACATCAGCGTGCTGGAAGAAGCAAAGACCACCAGCATTGAAGAGATGGTTCTCCGCCATCAACTCCCCTGGACAGGCCACAGTCTGTTCTCCCCCCCCCTTTTTTTTTTGAAGAGGGTGATGATGGTGGCATCCTTGAAATCTGCTGGGATTTTCTTGGTCACCCACACTTTTTCTATGAGCTGGTGGAGTTGTTGTGTCAGCTCAGGTCCTCCCTCTTTAAAGATTTCAGCAGGGATCCCATCAGGTCCGCTGGCTTTGTTATTTTTTGTTGGTTCTGGAACTATTCCATCAGCACTGCCTCTGGAAAATCCTGCAAATATCTTGGGAAGACAAGCAGACAAACATCAGCATGCTGGAAGAAGCAAAGGCCACCAGCATTGAAGAGATGGTTCTCATCAACTCCCTGGACAGTCCACAGTCTGTTCTCCCCCCCCCCCCGTTTTTTTTTTTTGAAGAGGGTGATGATGGTGGCATCCTTAAAATCTGCTGGGATTTTCTTGCACATTTTCTATGAGCTGGTGGAGTTGTTGTGTCAGCTCAGGTCCTCCCTCTTTAAAGATTTTTGCAGGGATCCCATCAGGTCCGCTGGCTTTGTTATTTTGTTGTTGCAACTTCTGGAATGATTCCATCAGCGCTGCCTCCGGAAAATCTCTTGGGAAGACAAAAAGACAAAAATGTCACTTTTTTGCTCCTCAAAGACTAACCCTCTATTCTTGACTCCCCCTCAATTCCTCTGGACTCCCCCTCCCCCTCCCCCTCCCCCTCCGTCTCCCCTCCACCCCCCCAATCCCCACATGGACTCGCTTTATCTCTTCTCCTGTTCTGCTCCCACAGGAACCCCAAGTCACCTTTACTTCCACATGCCGCACCTATAGTACTGTCCTCAATAAAGTGTGCAGAATACACTTCTGTATGATAGCCCCCGTTTTACTGGTGTGTGATCGTACGTCCTTTCCTCTTGTCTCAACACTTCCCCATCTTACCTGCATCTGTCCTCCCTGCAACACGACCACAACCAATGGAGCCCCCACGACCACATACTGTGCGACACAACACAGTGCTGAGAATTTGAGAGATGAAAGGAGAGAGAAATGTGCCAAGAGGAAGGTGCATCAAGCCAACTCTGACCGGGACTGCTTTCCATCTGGAAACCGATGCCATCACTGCGGGAGAACATGCAGGTCAATAATAGGGCTCCACAGTCACCTAGGGACCCACCCTGGAAGATTATCCTACTTGGACGACGAGGGATCGCCTAAGTAAGTAAGTATTTGGCTTGTATTAACTTTCTTTTTACTTTTTCCTCCCTTAAGTTTTCTCTTTTGCTTTATAGCCCTGTTGAGGGTACTCAGGGATGGTGATAAGCATGTTATCAGATGAATAAGCGATTTTTCTGACCGCTCGCAGGAACAATACTGAGGTCATTAAAGCCAATGGCACAGTGATTGCTTCCCTGCTGTCAGGCTTATTATTTCCATTCTCGCTTTTCCCAGTTTGGGACTCAAAGCTGCTTACATCATTTTTCCCCCCTTGAAAAAATATCGTTAAGAACCCACAAGGTGCAAAAGTTAAAACAAGATTAAAACATTGATAATTAAACAGGCTCGCTTGCTCCAGCATAACAATTAGCAAGATCCAACACCTTATTTAGCGCAGATGGGACATTTGAAAGAACCCTTGTTCTTTCCAAGCAGGGCCTCTTGCCTTTGCCGTATTGTGTTGCTCATTAAGTTTCGTTTGTATTGTTTTTTTCAAACGAGCTGATCTACATTTGTTTCTGCTTTATCACCTTTATCTTAATTAGCTTGCAATTTGTTTCATCTGTGCTTTTGCAAAACTTTCTGCGAGCAGGCATCCAGATTTCCAGAGGCAATCAGCCTCTCGAATGGATGGAAGGGCCGTTTTGAAACATAGGAGAAAATAGGGATTATGTTGTTGGGTTGTTGTAGGTTTTTTTGGGCTATAGGGCCATGTTCTAGAGGCATTCTCTCCTGACGTTTCGCCTGCATCTATGGCAAGCATCCTCAGAGGTAGTGAGGTCTGTTGGAACTAGGAAAATGGGTTTATATATCTGTGGAATGACTGGGGTGGGACAAAGGACTCTTGTCTGTTGGAGCTAGGTGTGAATGTTTCAACTGACCACCTTGATTAGCATTTGATGGCCTGGCAGTGCCTGGGGCAATGTTTGTTGAGAGGTGATTAGATGTCCTTGTTTGTTTCCTCTCTGTTGTTTTGCTGTTGTAATTTTAGAGTTTTTTTAAATACTGGTAGCCAAATTTTGTTCTAGGTGGGAATGTTTCAACTGACTACCTTGATTAACATTTGAATACCTGGCAGTGCCTGGGGCAATCTTTTGTTGACAGGTGATTAGATGTCCTTGTTTGTTTCCTCTCTGTTGTTTTGCTGTTGTAATTTTAGAGGATTTTTTTAAATACTGGTAGCCAAATTTTGTTCTAGGTGTGAATGTTTCAGCTGACCACCTTGATTAGCATTTGTTGGCCTGGCAGTGCCTGAGGCAATCTTTTGTTGACAGGTGATTAGATGTCCTTATCTGCTGTCAAGAATTCAATGACTGCACATTGCTTAAGTCACATTGTCAGTACTTCGCACTTTAAAAGTACTTCGCACTTTAACAACACAACCGTTCAATGCTAAGGCTTCCTGCCAAAATGGAACTGTATAGGAGAGTCAACTGAACAAGCCAGTACCTGCCGCATACCAGTACTGCCCTCTGTTGAGGAGTGACGAAAATGGAGGCATTACTTTTCACTCTAACAACACAACCACTCAATGCTAAGGCTTCCTGCCAAGATGGAACTGTAGAGGAGAGTCTACTGAACAAGCCAGTACCTGCCGCATACCAGTACTGCCATCTGTTGAGGAGTTACGAAGGTGGAGGCATTACTTTTCATTCAACCCTCGTATCGAAGTGTGTAAACTTTTTTTAGTACAATACTAAACATTTAGGAAATGGATATCTGACTCTTCAAAGAGGTAAATCCCATGGTATTTCTGCTGATGTGTTTTGAAAATGTGTAATGTAGATTTCAAAGTATGTATATATGTTTAATATAAAATGCAATGCTATGTGCCGAGTGTAATTACTGTGGGGAAAGGGTTAACTGAACCCTGAAGGGAATCGGCATTTCTAGAGAGGTCATAAATCTTAGTGCAGGGAGCAATGGACGAAATGTAGTGCGTCATACGTCACTCTGGAATGTAGGAGGTGTGGACTAATGCTGATAACAGCGTGTTCTGTGTTCGTGATGTAGCTGCCGGATGGAGAGGAAGCAGTTTTAATGATGTGCTTAGCTTCTAATGTAAATAGATGTACAATAAATTAGTTGATAGCTTAAAGGAGATTGTGATCGATGCATTTCCTTGCCTTGCTGTGCGGAGATACCACTGACAATTTCTTCCTCTGTCCAAAAATTATATGTAGGATATAACTTAGAATACAAACCATCTTATTCTCCAAATGAGTGCCAGGATCATGCTCAGAATCCAAATAATATTGAGCTATGCAGATGATATGGCAACTCTAAATGTAGCAGTTTGTTCAGAATCAACAGAGATCATTTTGGTGCTGTTTGTACTTTTCTTCTTTATTTAATGATGTTGTTGTCGTGGGTTTCTATGCAGTGAAACTCAAGGTTTTGTGTCTCTTGGTTGTCTTTCTCTATTTGTAGGCTTCCACCAATCGAAAGCGAGTGGAGAACATTGCAAAAAAGAAGTTGGATTCTCTGATTAAGGAATCCAAAATCCGTGATTGTGAAGATCCGAATAATTTTACAGTTTCCACCTTACCACCATCTGGGAAACTTGGTAACAAGCATGATCTCAAAAAGGTGAGAATTTTGATTGCGATTTTCCTAGTAATGTTTTAATAGAATGAGTTTGCCTGACCTGAAAACAACGTGTTAAAGTTTTGTAACTTTGCATATCTATCTTAACAGGTTCAATCTACTTTTATTGCTTCCTCTAGTCCTTGATTGTCCCAGCCAAATGTTTTGGACAAGTGGTTTCCTATGAACCTTGTATGTTTCTATAAAACCTATTCCCAACTTTTCTGTGTCCCGTGTTGACACTCATTGCATGATTCCTAAGGAGTCATGACAATATTTATCTGTGCTCGACATAGAGAACTAGCAGGTTCTTCCTAAACATGAATCCATGAATATGAGCACAACACTTTCCCAAAGAATTAAACATAGACTTGAACGTGGAACAAGATCAAGGTGTACACAGTAACGCAGCATTGCCTGCTCTGACCCTTTTGGTAAACAACACTTTGATTGAAGGACCACAAGCCATGAAGTCATGCCTTTGACATCTGCTTTGTCTCAAGGATTTCTCATGGAGTCTCTGTGACCTCTGAAACCTGGCTTCCTCCTCCTGGAGATCAAGTCCCCAACTCCTATTGACCTCAGGTGTTTTCCCAGGGGGAAGATCTTTCCCTTCCAACCCCTTATCTTCTATTGCCAAGGAACGACTAAGGGAAAGGTTTTCCCTATCTGCCACAGTATCTCCATCTCCGCCCTGCTCTGAATCCATTTCCATCTGACCAGACACAGACCCATTCTTCCAGAATGAGCCATGATCCAAAAACCCCTCGTTTCCCACACTGGAAAACCCATCATTCCTCACAATCTCTGACTGAACCATTCCCTCATATCAAGCCTCTGGATGAACAACAACAGAAACATTAAATAATTTGACCCCTTATTTGCTAAATGAAGTGATACAGTCACAGACATGATTTCATAGCTTGACACATCTATGAGAGTAGACCTCATGGAGGTGTCAAGGTCCGAAGTTTACAAAGAAAACAAATATGCTACAGGGTACATACAGAGGTGGCCTTAGGTAATTTTCAGTGGTAAACAAACAGTCGTTTGGAGCCCCCCCCCCCACCAATCACTGATATATATTTTCTGTTCACCATGGAAGTTCTGTGTGCTATATTTGGTTCAGTTCCATCATTGGTGGAGTTCAGAATGCTCTTTGATTGTAGGTGAACTCTACATCCCAGTAACTACAACTCGCATATGTCAAGGTCTATTTTACCCCAAGAGCACCTCAAGAGCACCCCGGGTAACATCAACTCTACCGCGACTGCTTACTTTGCGTAATGGGTGAGCCGCCCCTGCCTGTATGCCACATTTGGTTCAATTCCATCCTTGGTGGAGTTCAGAATGCTCTTTGATTGTAGGTGAACTATGCATCCCATATGTCAAGGTCCATTTTCCCCCAAGAGTGCCTCAAGAGCACCCCTGGGCAAAATGAACTATACTGCAAATGCTTACTTTGCGTAATGGGTTAGCCGCCCCTGGGTACATCGCTACGATACATCTATGCTATTGTGATTACATGTTCCAGCTTGTGAATATCCCTCTTGCATTGTGCCCAGAATTGGACAGTCTTCCAGATGAAGTCTGACCAAAGCAGAAGAGAGGGGCACCATTACTTCCCTCGATCTAGACATGATACTCCTTTTGATGTAGTCCAAAATCCCATTGGTTTTTTGTGCTGCTGCATCACATTGTTGGCTCGTGCTCAGTTTGTGGTCAACAAAGGTCTCTTTCACATGTACTATTGTCAAGCCAGGTGTCCCCCATCCTGTATCTCTGTGTTTCATTTATCCGACACTTCATGTTGAAATTCATTTTCCTAGTTAGAGTCATTTTGGAGTATTAGCTATTCCTCCCAAATTAGTATCATCTCCAAACCTGATAAGCGTGCCTCGTAGACTTTTGCCCGAATCGCTGTTAACAACAAGATTTGCAGTTTTCGAAGGTCCATTTTTATTTAATTTACGAAAACAGAAAGGGGAAGAGAGAGATGAAAAGACCAGCAAAATGGATTCAGAGAGCTGATATTTTCGGAAAGAGATAAATTCACAAAATACCCTAGGCAGGGAGATTTGTGGCATCTTTTTCTCTCCCCAGCAGAAGAAGCCTCCTCCATTTGTTTCTTGGGAAGTTACCTCCTCTTCCCGGGAGGGCCCTGGGAACTCGCTTTCCCAGAAGCACTAACCTAGGGTGGCCATTGAAAAGTTCCTCTCGGAGCATAATGGGAGTTGAAGTTTCTCTCTCAGTGTGTCTCTCAGCCAATCAAAAGCCTACTTGTGTCCATGCTCTGATTGGCTGAAAATAGACACAACCAGTGACAACAATTCCAAAAATCCTCTCTTGCAGTATGTCTTATTTTTTAAAAATGTTATGGTTAAAACTTAAAAGAGTTCGAAAAAATCAGTAGATTGGTGAATTGTTTTGAAATTTGGCAGACCTGCATGTGATGGCGTGAGTGGTGCCACCTACGTGTAGAACTGTCAGTTGCAAGATTTAAACTGTTGTATCATGCTTAATCCTGCCTTCTTACCCTGCTTATGTATAGTTGGATTGATTGGTTATTTATAGCTGTCAATCAATGTTGTTTGCACCAGATGGATTGGTTTCTCAGCTCAATTGTTTGGCTCCACCTCTTCCTGGAGGAGGGGAGTGCTTCCCATTCTTTCATTCTGCCATCAGAGTTTCTATCAGATGGTCGTGAGTAAGAGACTTGGCTCTAAAAGCCCCTGCTTAAATTACCTCTCAGCACCAATTCTAAGGTTTTTTACCCTTGGGACCCATGCTTTATGTCCAGATTGTCCTGGACAACATTGAGGAGACCCAAGTGCCATTAAACCAGTTCTTTTGGCACCAGAGGAAGGTCTTGTCCCTTCAACATAGGCCATTGGACTGGGGTTGTGTTTATTCCGATATTCACAGCCATTGAGGAAAGAGGAAACAGGAAAAGCTTCTCAGCTGCAAACTCCTTGGACTTCAGAGATTGTAAAGTATATTTCCCGTATCCCTGTTGAAACATCAAGCTTCTGCCTGAGAAAGATAACTCATTCTGAACAATAAATACCATGTCGAGTTATCTGTTGCGTTTTGGTTTTTGGGAGTTCCAGTTTCCTAAAGGAGAGCAAGAAGCAATCCCCTGGGGAAAGATGCCACGTCCATGCCTCTTTCACTAAGAGTTATAGCCCCCAGGCGCNGTGTCGATGTTGACTTTGGTGGAGAGGTGGCTGCCAAGGTAGCGGAAATGGTCAACATTTTCTAATGTTACGAAGAAAGATAGACACTTTTGAACTGTGGTTCTGGAGGAAAATTCTGAGAGTGCCTTGGACCACAAGACCAAACCAGTCCATACTCCAAGAAATGAAGCCTGACTGCTCATTGGAGGGAAGGATATTAGAGGCAGCCACATAATGAGAAGACAGGAAAGCTTAGGGAAGACAATTATGTTGGGGAAAATGGAAGGAAAAAGTAAGAGGGGCCGACCAAGGGCAAGGTGAATGGATGGTATCCTTGAAGTGACTGACTTGACTCTGAAGGAGCTGAAGGTGGCCACAACCAAAAGGGAGCTCTGGCATTGACCGGTCCATGAGCTCATGAAGAATAGAAATCGACTAAACAAATAAACAACAAACTGTACCTACTTATATTTATACTCTCATTATAGGTACTTTTTATTATTTCCACTATTTGGAATATATTACTTATTTTTTCAGCAAAAGGTATTTTAAAAAATAAAATGAGCAACAAGAATAAATTTAACATATTATCTTCTGTACCATTACTCTTTGAATGCCTTTTGATTCTCTGCTTTTTTAAAAAAAGTAAACAGAGCATGGCAACATCTATTACTATTCCCAAATGGAGAAGATCATTTGTTGACTCGCCATTCAGCAATTGAATCAGTGGGTCTACTCTCCCTAGAACTAACAAGATTCTAGCTCAAGTGCCTAAACTCCTACGCTTTATTAACAATGTGTTTAAAGATGTCAAAAATCCACAATGAGAAATAATCAAAAACACTGATTCTTAAATTGTGGGTCCCGACCACAAATTGGCTCTTTTTCGGAGTAACAAATAACTTGGCAACAGTAGAAGGTTTCTGCATGTCACTTAGACATTTATACCAATCGATTAGCAGCAGCGTGCAGTTTTACTGTGGACTCTGCAGAAATTGTACAGAAAATCAGCCTATTTAGCAAGTCTGTTTTTACCAAACTGTTACTACTAAATTGTTTTTAACTGTTGCTTTCCACTTTTAAAACTTGACTAAGTGTGGGATAGTTAGTCACCTTGAGTCCCCACGGGAAGAAAGGCAGGTTATAAATAAATAAAGATGATGATGATGATGATGATGATGATGATGTTGAGATAGATAAATAGGCAGGCAGGCAGGCAGGCTCTACAATTGGAAGACAATCATATTCGGCCACAAGTGATAGCCTATGATGATGTTATAGATAGAGATAGATAGGCAGACAGACGGAAAGATTGGGAAATAATCATACTTGGCCACAAGTGATAGTTTATGTTGATGAGCTAGCTAGCTAGGAAGACAGACAGGCATACAGATAGAAAGACAATCATATGCAGTCTATGATGAAGAGATAGATAGATAGATAGATAGATAGATAGATAGATAGATAGATGATAGATAGATAGATGATAGATAGATAGATGATAGATAGATACGTTATCTATCCGAACGTATCTCAGCCTATCAGCCCACCAGGACCCTAAGGTCTTCTGGGGAGTCCCTGCTCTCTATCCCGCTGGCTTCACACGTGCGGCTGGCGGGAACGAGAGACAGGGCCTTTTCTGTGGTGGCCCCTCGGCTTTGGAACACCCTCCCCATAGAGGTACGATCAGCCCCCTCGCTGATGGTGTTTCGGAATAGATTGAAGACATGGATGTTTAAACAAGCATTCGGTTAATCCGTTGCAACGAATTTTGTTGACTAAAGGATTGGTAATCATGGACGATGAATTTTGGACTGCGATTCCAGTTATGAGATGCTTGGGATTATTATTGGTGGCCCAATAATTTGTATTGTATATGTGTTTTATGCTTTTAAACTGAATAGTGTTTTTTAAATGTTGTAAACCGCAATGAGTCGCCGACTTAGGCTGAGATATTAGCGGTATACAAGCGTATAAATAAATAAATAATAAATAAATAGACAGATAGACAGACAATCATAGGGCAGATGTCTTAACTGTGTCTGGTTGTGATCCCCAGGTTGTGCCAGTCAACTTACATATGATATTGTTTCTAGCACCCACTTTTTGCTTGATATTCAGGCAGTGCTTCTTGTAGGTCAGGGCACGGTCCAGCGTGACTCCCAGGTATTTGGGTGCGCTGCAATGCTCCAGTGGGATTCCTTCCCAGGTGATCCTCAGAGCTCAGAATGCTTGTCTGTCCTTAAGGTGAAAAGCACATGTCTGTGTTTTAGATGGATTAGGGATCAGCTGGTTTTCCCTGTAATAGGCAGTAAGAGCACCTAGAGTTTCGGAGAGCTTCTGTTCAACCATCTCAAAGCTCCCTGCTTGAGCGGTAATGGCACGATCATCAGCATAGATAAAGCTCTTTGTCCCTTCTAGCAGTGGCTGGTCATTTGTGTAGATGTTGAACTTTGATGGGGCAAGCACGCTTCCCTGAGGCAGTCTGTTCTTCTGTTTCCGCCATCTGCTTCTCTGGCCCTGAACTCAACAAAGAAGCTCCTGTTTTGTAGCAGGTTTNCTGCTGTGACACCTTTTGGGGAGCCACGCCTACTTCTTCGCGCGGCGGGCCAATCCGCGCGCGCTTATCCCCGCGAGCCCCGCCCCTTTCTCATCCTGTTTCGCTGCAGGGCTGCTTGAGGAGCCACGCCCACTCCATCGCGCGGCAGGCTAATCAGCGCGCGCTTGTCCAATTGAGTTCCGCCCCTTTTCTCCAAAAGAGGGGGGAGGGGCCACGCCTACCCCCTCGCGCGAGAGGCCAATCAGCGCGCCCCTTTCCTCGTCTCGTGGGCGTTGCGTAAGCGGCGCGAGCGGGCGTTGCAAGGAGAGCGGACCGGTCTTCCTCACAGAACCAGGAGGCGAGCCCAGAGGAAGCGGAGCGTCGTCTCGTCTCCTCCTCGTAGGGACCGAAAAAGGAAGCCTGCGTCGGTTGAGGTCGCTTCGTAAAGCAGGGAGCTTCAAGGTGAATGAGGCGCGGCAGAATAACGAGGGCTCGTTCTCACAAAGGGACAGGAGCATCTTTTGCGAGCCTGCTGCTCCTGCTTGAGTCCTGTGGCCCAGTTGAGCCACTCCCCCCAAAACTGTTTGTGCCTAATTTCATTTCCTTTGCCGTCAGGTTGCCAGGTGTCCCTCATTATTGCTGTGGCCCACTCTGGTGGTCA